TTTTTTTTGGTAAAAAGTGTGCGATTAAGAAATTATAGGATAGTGGAATAGAGAATGGTGATATTCATGTAAAAGATTGCTCCTTTACCATGTTAGAGGCAGTGATTTAATTTAAGCCATCAATATTCGTATTAGCTTTTATTTAAAATTAATTTCAGTATTCGTGGTAAAAAAGGTTGATTTCAGTATAAAGTGAGTTTTCATTCACTGATTAGCAAAAGGAAAAGCATGAATGGAGACTGGATTGGGAAGAGGTGGTTAGAAAGTACTTGGTGCAGTGTCAGCTTAACGAAGACATGACTTTAGAGATAGGAGGTTATGGAAGACACAATTTAAGTTAGTAGTGCTTTGTCTTGCTATCCGCTCATACTAGTAGTCATAGTATTGTTCATGTAGTTTCTTGTCATTCTATTGCTATTGTTATAGGTTGTTTTTTGTAGTTTGATTATCATAGATTTTGTTTTATTATGCTTTCACTTCCGTTGCCTTTTTTCACGAGTACTTTGGACTGTTTTTCCATGAGCCGATGATCTATTGAATATAACCTATCTACATCTAAGGTAAGGGTAATGTTTGCGTACATCACACCCTTCCCAGACCTCACTATGTGGGACCACACTGGGTATGTTTGTTGTTGCTGCTGTAAAGTATGTGCTATGGCTAGCAGATGTGAGTCCGCATTTTTGGTTGTTGATTCTGCTCTAAACCGAACCGACCAGTTGTTTTCTTGCTAACCATTCTGTTTAAATTCATAGGTAAGACCGATATTGCTTTACCGCTGGATAAGTTGTCTTTGGATTTAATAAAACATATGGAGGGGCAACTAAGTCCTGAAAGGAGGTAAGTTTAGTATGTGATCTTGGACTAGCCTTTCTACATTAGTTTTTAGTGTGGACTAGCCTTTGATTCATGGTTGGCTCACTTGTTTTATAATGCCCATTTGCCTTTCATTCTTTAGAGCTGCCAATTTACAATTGTCATGAATTGTGCTTGTTTATGACAGGATCTGATTTTAAGCTTCCGAAATGGTAGTTTTCACTTTCATTTTTTTTTTAAATGTACTGTTATTTATGCTGGGAAGGGGCATATGTCAATCACCATAATGGACAAGCTTATTACAAGGAAGCAAAGTTGAGTGGTTTCCAAGTCTATTTTCCAATGTGAAGACTCTCACAACTGAATTAGTGTTGTAATACTTCCGTGGTATATTGAAAGGCATAAATAAAAAAGTGAAAAAAAGCAAGACCTGAATATACATACTTGCCAACGTAGTTAGCTTTATTATGGATTTTATTATATTATTTATTCTTTACCCTTCTTCCTCTGATTCGATCTCTGCTGTAGATACTTGCTAACTCTCTCTCTCTTCTTACTAGGAAAAGGACATATGCAGTTCTTGTATCAACAGGAAGTTTCAATCCTCCAACTTATATGCACTTGCGCTGTTTTGGTAAGTACTATCCAACCTCTACTACGTTTCCCCCGCTGAGCTTTTTTCTTCTTTTTATCCCTTTATTCTCTATTAGGGGAGGGAGGGAGGGTTGTGGGACTGAAGGAGGTGTATTTGCGTGTGTGCCAAAGAGAAGAATCTTCCATATTTTTCTTCTATTTAGATGAAAGCAACAAGCCATGTATAGTCTTAAGTCCTCCAGCACATAAGCTGCTCAGAGTTAATATGTTGTTAGAATATGAAATTCATTTAATCTGTTTATTGGATGTTGCTAAACTTTTGGCGATATTAATTCAGAGTTGGCAAGAGATGCATTGACTTCAGAAGGAATTTGTGTGATTGGAGGTTACATGTCACCTGTAAATGATGCATATAAGAAGAAGGTATTTAGCATATCTCCAGCACTGCAGCTGCTAAAAATGTGTAATTGGAAAGGGTAATTAAAAGAAAACACGTACAACTAGCTTTGCTATATAATCACTTTCTTCTGATCCATTTCATTTTGCATTATGAATCTTAGTCTATGTTGTTTCTGGTCTGGGACCTGAAATTTCTTTATACTAGCGCATCCTGTTCTTAGTCATGAGGTTTTGTTTCTTACTTTCTTTATCATTTATACTGGTCAAATATATATTATTATAAGAAATTGAACATGCTTTATATCTTGTGTCGATGTTACTGACACGCAGAAAAAGATCTTCCTAATTTATTTGCTCCTCATTTTTGCAGAATCTTATATCTGCGGAGCATCGTGTTGCAATGTGCCAGTTAGCCTGCAAAAGCTCAGAATTTGTTATGACAGATACCTGGGAGGTCTCTCTATCTATCTATTCATCTCTTTCTCCTCCTCCTCCTCCCCTCCCAAAAAAAATATCCCCAAAATCTCCCTTTTCAGTGTGAGTAATAAGGTCCTACTTGGTATGATTGCATAGCCTAGTTTCATATTTGATGTATTTACACCATTGCTGCTGTCTGGGATAAACTAACTTTCCTTAATCCTGTCAATGATTTTTCTTGAATTTTTTGTGCAGGCAAGTCAGGATAGCTATCAACGAACATTGACAGTTCTCTCCAGAATAAAAACTGCTATCAGTGGTGGAAGTTTGACATCCACCGGTAAGATCCACATCTGCCTTAAGTTGATCTGTGTTGGAATAGTGTTGATAGGAATTTATGGCCAATGATTAATAAGAAACTTGCAATCTTCCCGAAACCATTTTATTTCTTTGTGATAAAGATTCTTTCATTCCTATGGCTTTAGTGAAAGAAAATTTCATTTACCCCTTCCAACCTCCCTCCTCTCACCTCTGCAGATCTTCCTTTGCCCGCGAACTGGTGGGTTTCATCTCCAAGTTCTAGCTCGCAATTATTCCCCTTGGATGGTGTTAGACTTGGTAGTTGATTTAAGCGAGGGAACAAAGACTAATGTAGCAGCAGGTTAACTGGCGATAATGTTAAAAACCTAGGGGTAGTTGCATGCTTAGTATATATATTTTGGCTGTTACTAACTTATAGTTGAAGGAAAAGTAGGAAGAAACTATTTTCCCACAAATATTAGAAAATGAATGAAAGTGAACCAAACTGGAAAGAGAAGAAAGTTAGGTATTGAAGCCTAGTTTCATCATTGTCTAAATCTCTGAGCGATTAGTTAATAGATCACTGTGCAGTTCATTTCTCTTGTGGAGGTATCTTTATTGTGTACTGATGTGTACTTTCTCAGTTTCTACTTTCTCAGTTTCTTTTTTTTTTTTAAAAAAAGAAAGATCAATTCTCAGCTTCAAATTGGATGTCATATTCTCCATTCGATTCTTTCAATTTGATGTTCAGTTTGTAGAATTGAATATTTTCACTTATTATATACTATGATTGCAAATTCAATAACTCCTACTTTACAGGTCAATTGAGCAACCGTAGTCCATCACCCTACTTGTCCCACTTACCGTAAATCAATGTGCATGTTAGTTACTACCTAATAAACTAGTAACTAGGTAGTAACTACTTATTACTTGGTCACTATGCAACCCTAAGAAACTGTGCAAAAGTGAACATGCCATTCTATCTGTAAGGGAGGGAATAATTGGTTAACATTTTAAATTTGTATTATCTATCCAAGTGAAATTGTTTTAAAGCTTTGTAGATTACGAAGTTCCATTCAAGTTCTAAACACTGGTTATTTTTCTCGCAGATGACCTCATGGCTATGCTAGTATGTGGTTCTGATCTGCTAGAATCTTTCAGCACACCTGGTGTTTGGATACCTGAGCAGGTAAGTGAAATACCTCCTTCACGTTGCACTATAGTTATGCAATATGTTCATATGTTGATTTTCTAGGTCAGGGCCATATGTAGAGACTTCGGCTTGGTTTGTGTCCGAAGAGATGGCCAGGATGTTGAAAAAATCATCACCGGTGATGAAATTTTGAATGAATATAAGGTAACTTCATTAAGAACTCCATATCCTAGTCCCTTGTTCTCTCATTTCAGATGATTGACTGTTGTACAGCGTCACTAGTAGTAGTAAACATTATTGAAATGTTAGCATGCCAAAATTATTCGACAGCTTCACACTTCCCATCCTCTTTTATTTGTCGAAGAGACGTGTAATATACAGTGTACTAATGTAAAATTGCAGAAGAATATCCGAGTCGTGGATGAAGTAGTACCAAATGGAATCAGTTCAACGGGACTAAGGTAAAAAATCATCAATCTGACTAGCTAGAATGACATGCAATGAATCTTGGATAAAAATGGTGGACAAGCTAACTTTTCATTCTCATGTCAGGGACTGCATCTCAAAAGGGTTATCAGTGAAATACTTGACAGCCGATGAAGTAATTGATTATATCAAACAACACAATCTTTATAGAGGGCAATGATCCAACAACTGAGTCCAATTGTAACTTTTTTTTTTTTTTTTGTAAAATAAGTGCAAGTACATATCCTGCTTCATGTGATTAAGAACACAAAAAACCCCCAAGATTTCACTAAAAGTGCATCTATATATGAAGCGTCCACTTGGGACTTCACTAGATATGTTGTTGTTGTTGTTCTGTGGTTATAAATAAACCATGATTGCCTACTCGCTTGCTATGGTTGCTAGGACTCTTCAAAATGTCTCACTAGATGCATGACAACGGATCTCCCAAAAATGTAATAGTGCATTTTTGAGGATCAAATACAGGTACGACAACATTTAAGAAAAGTCCTGAACAACCATAGCTCAATTCTTTTCACAAGAAGAAGAAAGTGAGACTATTAGCATCATACAACAAACACAAGGAAATTATAAACACACACATATTTATTACACAAAACACAGGTAGCTTACTAGTACAGAACATAAAGTTTTTAACAAGGATAAAACACAGGTGGCTTATTAGTACATAAACATAGAGTTGTTAACAAGGAAACTTAAAAACACATACAAACTTGATTACACAAACAAGAAACTGAAACATACTGTTACTCCAGATAGAGTTCAAACGATATAACATACTTAAAACATTATTATTTTCGCAACGCTACGCCACCTGCTTGTTCACATCATCAGTCTACTGCCTCCACTGTCCAAATGGATAAGCAGGCGCAACAGTTGAAGAAGATGACTCAGAAGGACTACCATCGTTCCCCACCGCCATCTCAAAGTCCCTGTAAATTTAGAGGCGGTAAAATCAATTCGTGTTTAACATTATTTATTCAAGATCATTCATTTTCAAAGTCACTCATTTACCTGGAAGTTACCAAGGCAGCAGTAACAGGATCATAAAACAGCACATTTGGTGGAAAATACGGGTACGGATAACCCGGGATGGGTTCAATAGGCAAAATTGGATGTGGTGCAGCGAGTGACGTGAGAGTTAATTCCCAATTGGGCTTGCGTACGTTGAAACAACTCACTTGATTATATTCACGATACCTGTTGAGGTATTGGGCTAAAAGCCCAGCATGGTTAGTTAGGCCCATTTTGTTCATGGCCCAAAGAATATCCTCAGCTGTCACAGTCTTTCGTTGCTCCCTATTGCAACGTTCCTTAGCTTTTTTTGTGATACGATTGATGTAGTAGCTCCCTAATTTTTGGACAGACTCTTTCGATCCATCGTTGATTTTCGCGTTCGTTGGAAGAATACCACGCATGATTCTCGTCACATTCGCCATGGGGAGCTGCACTTTCAATAGACGCTGAGCTAGCTGATCCACCTCTGTGTTGACGTTGGTGTCGTTTGCACCTTACATACCAAAAAATAAGTGTCTATAAGCTTATAGTAATATGAAATATTAAAGTGTCGTAAACATAAACACTTAAACTATGTTTAATTAAGACATTTATTGATTACAAGATTTTTGCTATATATGAGCTTAAGATAAAGGAAAATGTTAATTGGATCATATATGACTCAATCAATATGAGTATTAAAATGGTAGAAGGACATAATTAATTTTTGGACATGAAGTATATAATGAGATATTTGCTCTAGATTAGTATTTAAGATTAAAAAATGAAAAAAAATATATTTAAGAAGCGTGTGTACACTTGCCTGAAGATAGCGCGTGATATCAATTGAGTTTTTAAAAAAATTCTCGTAAATCGTTAAATTGATTGGTTCACGCGCTATCTTCAAGCAAGTGTACACGCGCCTTTTGATTTTTATTGTTGTGCTTGTATAGATAATTTGAAACGTGATCGTTGACATGAAGCAAGAATCTTAGATCATATAAGTAATAAAAGTACTACCAAAAATTCCGACCGAATACGTTAATTTAGTTCGGAATTAATTTCAATTTAAATATAATAAAGTACAAAAAAGAATCTCGATAATGTAAATTATTATAGTACGGAGATAAAATCAATTTAAATATCATCACATTTATGTTAATAAAGTACGAAAAAGAATATCGATTAATAAATTAACATAGCACAAAACTAAAATCAATATAAACATCAATATGCTAAATTAAAAGGCTGATCAGTGATAATATATAGAATTTAGTTTTCTCCGTTTCTTTCTCATTTGCTTTTTATCTTTTTTTTCAAGAATTATGTGATGCTAAAAAAAATTTCATCCGGTGTCCCAAGCCACGTTGAAGTTCCTGCTAAACTTAAATTACATATTGTTGGGCCTATTTGGAGTGATGCTCCCAGTAATGCCAAAAATTTAGTCTTTCATGTTTAAGAGGCTTTTTTTTTTGTTTGTTTTTGTAAGAAAAAGACGAAAAAAAGTAACTGAAACAAAGACTTTAATAAGCTTCCCAAGGATACAAACAAATTTTTTTAAAAAATCATAAAATAAAAGAAATAAAACGTTACTGTAGAAAACATGAATCTTGTGGTACTTCAAAGCCCAAAAAAAGAAAGAGATGAACACACGTTTTGAGAATATTGTTGATGAAACAATTTTTTTAATTGTGGTTTAGAAATTACAAAACTTTCAATTTTTGAAAGGTAAATTCATGAGAAAAAATGTTAACAAATCACAAGAATTTGGTATAATAATCAACACATACTAAATTATCAATAAGAAATTTTTTAGCAGTAGAATAGAAGAAAATTTAGTGGTTTAGACGCAGTAAATAAATAAATGACAATCATAGTTGGTTTTATTTATTTACTCATAATCTGGTTAGTGGTATGATCGATCCCATTGATAGATATTAAGTTTTTGAAAAGGTAAAATTCACAAAATAAAAAGAGAAGAAATAATTGATATATGATCAAACACACGGTAAATTTAGAATTCAAACTTTTTTTTCTTTTTGTTTTCTTGACCATGTAAATATAGGACTCAAAAATTTATTAATGGCAAAAAACAAGAAAATTAAGTTGTTTTGACCCAAAATAAGAGGAGAAAAAAAAATAGCAACGAAAATCATAGTTAGTAAAAAAGAAAGAAGCGTTCAACCGCTTGACGGTAATAAATTTTTCATTTACTCATGATCTAGATGATACACTAAATTTTTGTAAAGTAAAATTTGTTAGAAAAAAGAAAGAAGAATTTTTTGATATATGATCAACACAACATATACAAAATTCAACCTTCTTCCTTTTTTTTCCCTTCTCACTTTGTTTTTTTTTTATAAAAAAATAAGAATTAAATCATATAGAATTATCAATCCAAAATTTATTAGGGCAGAAAACAAGAAAATTAAGTGGTTTAGGCCGAAAAGAAAGAGAAAAAAAAGCAACCACAATCATTATCATCTTTTAAAAAAAATTAACTCAGATTTGATATGCAGGTCGATACATTCATAAGACATTAAATTAAAAAAAAAAAATCAAATAAGAAAAAGATGAATAGATTATAAAATTTTGAAAAATGAATATGCACACAACACAAACCAAATTCAACCTTTTCTCTTGGTCATGGAAACAAAATTATCAAGTTAATTAAACCTTAAATCGTAGAAAACAAGAAAATGAAGTGTTAAGGCAAAACAACAACAACAACACCAACACTGTTAATAGTTTATTTAGTCTCATCGATCGATCTAATCACATATGAGACATTCAGTTTTTTTAGAACATAAATTCATGATCGAAGGAAAGAGTGAAAAAATTATCTGAACTTGAAGAAGAAAACAAGAAAATTAAGTGGTTTAGGTCGGAAAAAAAAGAAGAGAAAAGATGAAACCACAATCATTATCATTTTTTTTTTTAAAATTAAGTCGTGATTTGATTTGCAGGTGATACATTGGTAAGACATTAAATTTTTGCAAAGATAAAATCTAGTAGGAAAAAAGTGAAATGATTATAAAAAATTGAGAAGTGATATACACAGAACACATACAAAATTCAACATTTTTTTGGTCATGTAAATAAATTTACCAAGTCAGACCTTGAATCGTAGAAAACAAGAAAATGAAGTGTTTAGGCAAATCAACAACAATAACACCGCAAATTTTTTATGTAGTCTCATCGATCGATCTAATCACACACGAGACATTCAATTTTTTTGAAACATAAATTCACGATAGAAGAAAAGAGTGAAAAAATTACCTGAAGTTGGAGCATGATTCATGTTTTTCCTCCCACTCATTTTCTCAACTTAGGTATTTTCAATCTATTTTAGTCTTTTTATTTGTGAGTGGTGTGGTTTCAGTTGTTACTCATTACTTAAGTTTATATAATCCCTTATTAACAACTTTTTCTACCACCTGGACAATTTTATTTTATTTTAATTTAATTTAATTTAATTTCTTTATTTTTAATAATACCCCACTTTCACTTTTTCGATGTTCTTTTGGTGTTCTTTAATTTACTCATTTTCTTAACTTAGGTATTTTCAATTTATTTTAGTCTTTTTATTTTTGAGTGGTGTGATTTCAGTTGTTACTCAGTACTTAAGTTTATATAATCTCTTATCAACAACTTTTTCTTCTACATGGACAATTTTATTTTAATTTAATTTATTTTTAATCATACACCACTTTCACTTTTTTGATGTTCTTTTGGTGTTCTTTAATTTACTCATTTTCTTAACTTAGGTATTTTCAATTTATTTTAGTCTTTTTATTTTTGAGTGGTGTGGTTTTAGTTGTTACTCAGTACTTAGGTTTATATAATCTCTTATATACAACTTTTTCTTCCATACCTGGACAATTTTATTTTATTTTAATTTAATTTAATTTATTTATTTTTAATCATACCCCACTTTCACTTTTTCGATGTTCTTTTGGTGTTCTTTAATTTACTCATTTTCTTAACTTAAGTATTTTCAATTTATTTTAGTCTTTATTTTTGAGTGGTGTGGTTTCAGTTGTTACTCAGTGCTTAAGTTTATATAATCTCTTATTAACAACTTTTTCTTCCACCTGGATAATTTTATTTTATTTTAATTTAATTTAATTTATTTATTTTTAATCATACCCCACTTTCACTTTTTCGATGTTCCTTTGATGTTTTTTAATTTACTCATTTTCTTAACTTAGGTAGTTTCAACTTATTTTAGTCTTTTTATTTTTGAGTGGTATGATTTCAGTTGTTACTCAGTACTTAAGTTTATATAATCTCTTATTAACAACTTTTTCTTTCACTCGGACAATTTTATTTTATTTTATTTATTTATTTTTAATCATACCCCACTTTTACTTTTTTGATATTTCTTTTGGTGTTCTTTAATTTGTTACGTTCGGCATGTTTACTAATAGTGACACCAAGGCAATAAAAACGTCCTTCCAAAATGAATAATGAGATTATTTCCTGAATTTGCTCAAACCTTTTTTTTTTGCATATATGCAAAGAAAACCCTTATCTAAAATTATTTTATATTTGATTTCAAGGCCGATCGGTGTTTGATATACATTTTAGAGTCTCGACTAATTTTGATTCACATTGCATAATACTTATTAATTAAAGGAAAAAATGCTCCACATCAGGAACTTCTTATCATTCTCATGTTTAGATAACGAATCTTAGATCTCTGATTAGGATAAAATTAAGAATCCTATGAACAATGACGTAGCCACAAATAGTGAAGGGTATGGTCAGTTGAATATCTTTCGCTGAGAAATTATATATTGTGTAAGTAGAAAATTATACTAAGGGTTTTTGTTCGATATGACGAATGATGTTTTTCAAGAAAAATGTTTGTGAGGAAAATAAGTGAGTTTTCTTATTTATTTTCTTAAATTTGATACGTAATCGAATATAATATTATCTTAAAACATTTAATCTAGACAAAATCCTATGAAATGTGGAGGTGGGGGTCGGTGTATGGGGGGGGGGGGGGGAATTAATGAGGTGTGTCGTAGGTTAAGGAGGTATAATCAGTGAAATGTAACTCGCGGAACTTGTTTTTCCTATTTCTACTAGGAAAAATATGTCTTCATTTAAAAAAAAAATGTTTTCTTAGAAAAAATATTTTTTTAAAATTATGATCAACCAAACATGATTATTTTTTAAAAAATATTTTCCTTCGTACTAAACACACCCTAAGTATACATGTGCCACATGTGCATATACCAAGTTTTGTTAATTTAACTCCACGAGAATTTAGTGATAAAACAAGTGATTATTAGGAAACCAAATCTTATACTTCATATTATTCAATAATTGAAGTGTTAGTATAATCACTAAATTCTATACACCAAATTTAGATGTTAATTAACATTTTGGATCCAATATTTATAATAATATGACTTAGTTTATTATATAAAACTTTCTTGAGTTAAATTACAGTACTTATACACATGTAATATGACTTAATTTAAGATATACACTTATGTATTTAAAGTCAAAGACTTATTATACCTTGATCATGAAACCATTATTGCTATATCTTCTATATTTGTTTTTGAAATTTGTGTTTTTTTGGCAAATGTTTTAAGAACATATTTTTTCTGCTAGCTAGAATATATTGATCAGTATGGGATACTACTACATTACAAAACAATATAACAACAACACCAATAATAATAATAATAATTATGATCATATAGTCAGTATAATTTCATACAGTAAGATATCATAATCAGTATTCCATACAGTACTGTATACAGATCTTCCCTCTATTTTATAAGTAAAGAGGTTATTTCTGATTAAAGAATGCTACTATATTTATTAATGAATCAGTACGCGTGATTATTAAATGGTTGACCGTACAAATTAAATTGTACGAAAATAAACACAATTTTAACACGCAGTAAAAATATCAGTCACGTGGACTAATATATTGTGGAGTTCACGCTCTTAAAACAATTTACATACACGCGTCCCCAAATTTTTTTTATGGTGTGCTCATGTAGATAATTTGAAAACCTAATCGTTGACATGAAGCAAGAATCTCGATCATATAAGTTAATAAAGTATAGAAAAAAAATCTCGATCGTATAAATTAATTTAGTACCTATGAAATAAAATTAAAATCAATTTAAATATAAGTACATTAAATTAATAAAGACGTAAAAATCGATATGCAAAATAAAATCATAAATTTAAACATCAATACGCTAAATTAAAAAGTTGATCATACAAGTTAACTAAGTCATATTTAAACATCAGTAATGTAGAATTAAAGATTCATAAAAGAAGATATATTCGATATTAAAACTTAAAAGGTCATACATATTATTAGGACTTGGGAGTAATTTTAATGTGCAACCAATTATATAATATTAGGCAGCTATTTTGATTAGCTTCACATTACCGAGGACATGACTCTAGATAGGAAGGAGTGGAGGTCGCGTATTAAGGTTGAAGGCTAGTAGAGTTAGCGTGTTGTCTTTCCTTGCGAGGGTATGGGTTGTTAGCATTTGTAGTAGTCCTAGCCTTGCACTTGCAGTTCTTGTCTGTGATACCCTTAGCCTTATGTTGTTTATTGCGTTTCACTTCTCACATTATTTTATTGATGTTATTGTCTCCTTTGTTGATCATATACTATCTTTCTTATTGGATGTTATGTTTTATACACTGTTTTCCTCTCCTTTTACTTGGATTTGATGTACTTGAGCTGAGGGTCTTTCGGAAACAACCTTTCTACCTCCACGAGGTAGTGGCAAGGTCTGCGTACACTCTACCCTCCCCAGACCCCACCTAATGAGATTTCACTGGGTATGTTGTTGTTGTTGTTGTAGGCAGCTATTTTGATTAAAACTTAAGAATTGAAGAATTTCATGTCATCACCAGTGCTAATATTTAAGTCTAAGATTTAAACATTGTTTGCCCTTGCCCTAAATAATTTTTTACATTATCAAATTATTCAAAAAAAAAATAATACCATAGTTACAGATAAACCTTTTTAAATGTAGAATTTGATGTTTTTTAAGGAAGAAATAAGACAAGTTACTTGCTAAAATAGGTGATATAAGTTTGAATGATGTAAATATTATTTAAACTATCGATGTATTTATTACTTAAACTTTGATTATCTCTTCTATTTCTACTTTCAGTAGTACTTTTCTTTTTTTAATAGTTTCATCTTACGTAGTTTTTTACGGTTTTATTCATTTCATATCATGTAATTGAAAAGTCGAGGATTTTTCAAAATTAATTTCTTTATAAGATAACGATCAAATCTACGTACACCTCGTCCTTTTGAAATTTCACTTGAGTATTTTATAATTTATGAGATTTTTATATTTATGGAAAACATACAACATATAAAATCTAAATTATATGTTCAAACAAAACTTCAACTTTATCTCATAATTTTATATTACGATTTCATATTATGATTTTAAATTATAATTTCATATCGCATGACCAAATGGGCTTTGTTATTGTTGTATATTACTTAGTTTCCTCCGGAAATTAATTTTCTAAAGCTAGTCAAAGGCATCTTTCTTCTCAATTTGTCTTATACCCTTTTTTTCATAAATCAAATAAATACCAAAATATTAGTGTTTCTAATTTAACTTTTTGTTTAAGATACAGTTTTTTAAGTAAAAGACGAAAAAAAAGAAACTGAAACAAAGACTTTGAAGTTATTCAGAATCCCAAGAAGAAAAGGATGAAATAGTTTCGAACAAAAAGAAAAGAAAAACTCAAACGTAACTACATATATAAAACAACAAATTAACACGTAGATTGTACCGTATTATTTTAATAAATACAATATTTGAATATATTATATCATTTTTCATCGTTACATAATGTCACATATTCATATTTTTAAAATGATAAACCTAAAAAAAAATAGGATATGGATAGAGCAACTATGTAATTTGAATGATAAATATTGTTCTCTATATAATGACAAAGATTCATAATTTGAACGATAAATATCGTTCTCCGTCATTATATAATGACATTAGATTCATAATTTAAATGATAAATGTCGTTCTCTGTCGTTACATAATGACACAAATTCATAACTTGAACGATAAATATTCTACAAGAAAAGTAGGGTATGAGGTAAAGCTACTATGAAAAGGTAGGATAAAAGATGAAATATGATTATGAAGAAAATAGGAAGGTAACAATACGATCACACCAAATCGATCGTTATATAAAATAGGTTTTTTCATTGTTACTTAACAATTCGATATAACCAACAATCAAACGAAACATTGTATTTAAACT